ACCAAGGCAGGGTGCTAGTCACTGTCATTGGGGTGAACTTCTGATGGTTACTGAAAATTCTTTGCTCCTGTGTGTCACAGTCCTGCTCAGCACTCACACCAGCTGCTGGTGCCTGGCCCAACCCCAGCCCTGATGTCTCGGCCACATCAGCAGGTGGAAGCAATGGCTGTCAGCCCTGAACACCCCTTTGTCTTCAACACCATCCCCTATTCCTGAGGGGTGATCTGGGTTGGCAGCCTCTGCTCACACCTTCTGCCGCCACTGGCATCTGCTGTGGATGCCTGGTGCCATTCCTGATCTCCTGCAGCTGGCAGTGTGTGTGAGTGGTGGCTGCTGGCCCCAATCGCCCTCAAGGGCTTCTCCACCTCCCCCTGCTCCTGAGGAGTAATTGGAACAGCAGCTGCCACTTGCACTCACAGCTAGCTCCTGGCCCAATTGCTCCTTGACATCAGCACATAGGAATGGCGGCCACAGGAGTGGGCCTACATGGTGGGAGGGGCGGAACAGGGGCTGGGAGGATGGGCCAAGACCCGCCTCTGTGCCCACCACAGCCTCCTGTCCCACAGTTCCTTTCAAGCTGCATGAATTCCTGCATTGGGCAACTAGCACCCCATAATAAACAAGCAAACTGACTTTTTATTTTTTCAAAACAAATGGATAAACCAAATATAAACTGTTATGGCAGGCTATAGTATATCAAGTATTAAGTAAAAGACACTTTATTATTAATCTGGTAAAGCAGGGCAACATTGGAGTGAGCTAATTTGGCAGAGAAATGGGGCTAAAGAGAATATTGGAAGAGTGATAAAATTGCAAGGAAATGCAGATTAAATGGTTGGTTGGAAAGCATAGATACTAAATATAACATAATAAGAAATAGAAATAAATTCCTATATTCATTTAGAGTAACATTGAAAATCCCAAAGATGAGTAAAAAAAATCTTTAAAAGCATTTAGAAAAGATATATTACTAGAGACAAATGGAAGTTAAACTTGCAAAAACAAAACAAAATAAATAAACAATTTAAAAACTTGACAGCAATAGTGAAGGGAAGACCTGAGGAGGGGTTGGGAGTAGGGTGTAGGAGTCATTGATGGGAGAATAAAAAAGGGGACATCATAAAAAGCTTCTGCAAAGCAAAAGAAACCATCAACAAAACAACAATAAAGCTCATTGCATGGGAGAACATATTTACCAATATTATTTATGATAAGGGTTTAATCTCCAACAACTACAGGGAACTCATATAGCTTAACAAAAGGAAGATAAACAATCTAATAAAAAATGGGCAACTGACCAAAATAGATACTTTTCAAAAGTGGACATACAAAAGATCAAGATACATATGAAAAAATGCTCAAAGTCACTTATCATCTCAGAGATGTAAATAAAGATAACAATGAGGTACCATCTCATACCTCTCAGAATGGCTATAATAATAAAAAAATCAACAAATGAGAAGTGCTGGAAAGGATGCAGAGAAAAAGGAACCCTCCTGCACTGCTAGTGGGAATGCAGACTTATGCAGCCACTGTGGAAAACAGTAAGGAATTTCCTCAAACAGTTAAAAATGGAACTCCCATTTGACCCATTGATCCCACTTCTAGGAATATATCCCAAGAAACTAGAAACACCAATCAGAAAAGATATATGCACCCATATGTTCATAGCAGCACAATTTACAATAGCTAAGATTTGGAAACAGCCAAGGTGCCCATCAGTAGATGAGTGGATTAGGAAATGGTGGTACATCTACACAATGGAATACTATGCTGCTGTAAAAAGGAGCTGGGGAGCATTATGATAAGCAAAATAAGCCAGTCAGAGAAAGATAAATATCACATGATTGCACTCATTTGTGGATTATAATGAACAACATAAACTGATGAACAAAAACCATTCCAGAGACAAAGAAACATCTATCAGATGCTCAAACCTCAGAGGGAAGGTGGGGGAAGGTGGGGCTAAGGGGGAGAGATCAATCAAAGGACTCGTATGCATGCATATAAGCCTAACCAATGGACACAGACACCAGGGTGGTGAGGGCATGAGACATTGTGGGGTGGAGAGCAATGGGGGGATAAGGATACATATGTAATACCTTAATGAATAAAGAAAGAAAGAAAGGTGACACCTATGGTATAATACTTCCAACAATAAAGATAAAATTTTAAAAATTCATATACACACACAAAAATTGTGTCTGATGACAAAAAAATTTAAATATGATTGACCTTGTCTAGCAACATAAAGGTTTTGTAAAACTGATCTGTAAGTGGAAGTGGGACCAAATGGAGTTAGATCTGGATCAAAATGGCCATTCTGCCACCAGAGTTTGATGATGTATCTATGAAATCCAGCATACTACCTAGCTCATAGATAACACTCAATAAATGGTATTGACTATTACTAAACATCTATTAAGTCTGTCTCATGCTTATCAAATGAGAAAGCCAGTTTCAATTTAAGTTGAAGTGCCAAGGTGGCTTAAGTATATTAAATGAACTTTGTGTATTGTTTCCTTCAAAGGACAGTAAAGAATTCACAGATGTGTTCATGGTCCTAAAATGACAGATTTTAGATATGCTTGACATATATATCTATTAAACCAAGATGATGAACATTATATCACTGTAGTCTGTCACTACCAAATGTAGTTTCGCTCAGGGGAATACCTTATTTTTCATCAAACTCTCCTGTTGGGAAAACTATCTTTGTTTTTAATAGTGGTTTTGCTTGTTTTGTGAGATTGTATTTAAAAGTGAAAATAAAAGCTTAATATCTTCTTAAAAACAACATTGTCCTTTCAAAATAAGAATATAAAACCTGACTATCTATTTTGAAAATAGCCTATCCATGTGCTTTGCTTCCTTAGCAACAGCAAAAACAGAAAATGGGCACTAATGTTATAAGTCTAGTAGAGAATGAAATGCTTCTCACAGAAAGTATAAAAATTCACTTAAAAGAATTAATTTGAGAAATGTTTGAAAAAAAACTCCACATGAAAATAAATTTCGTATTTGAGTTTATTTTATCTTAAAATATTTCATAAAATATATTATGATTGACCTCATTTATTTTTATCTTTCATTTGTGGTTCCTCATAGAAATGCAATTTGTAACATATGTGTTTAAATAATAAAGCTGATATTTGGTAAAAGAAAAAAATTCAACAGCAATAATGGAAGCCAGAAGATAGTAGAATATTGTTTTCAAATTATTGAAGAAAAGAATTATCAACCTAATAGCATATGTCTATCAAAACTGTCTTTCAACAAAGAGAGGAAAAAAATAACATTTTAGGACACAAAATAAAAAACAGTCAGATTTTACCATAAATAAGCATCGACTGAAGGAACTTCTAAAGAATTTACTTTCTGAGGAGAAAGCTTAACAGTGAGAACAAGAAGATTAAAATGTAGACATATTTTCCCTGGCCAGTGTGGTTCAATGGGCTGGGCATCTTCCTGTGCACCTAAAGGTTGCTTGTTAAATTCCAGGTCAGAGCACATGCCAGGGTTGTGGGTTTGATCCTCAGTAGGGAGTGAGCAGGAGGCAGCCAGTCAATGTTTCACTCTCACATCAATATCTCCCTGTATCTCCTTTCCTCTCTTTAAAAATATTTTTAAAATGTAGATATATATATATATAACAAGTATTTTCTGTATAAAATAATAATAAAAACAGTAGTTTATTATGTGGAGTTAAATAAAGGCAGATACAGCATAATACAATGTAACAGATGTCAAAACTGTGATGATAAAAGTTAAAGTTTTATGATCTTTGCATTGGTCAGTAGGTGTTTCAATTATTAACTTTAGACTGTGGTAAATAAATATTCAATATAAAATGTCAAATACTAGTATAACCAATAAAAGAAAGTTTCAGTGTGCATTGAAAACCAATAGAAGGAAAAAAATGACTTGTGAAAGAGAACAAACATAAAAATAAAAATAAAAGAAAGGAGAGATGCAGCAGCTAGCTCAGAGAAAAATGAAACAAATATAAAAAAATAAATTTTTAGAAATGAATCCAGTTGTAAGTATTCATTTATAACTGTTGGAATCTATAAAATTTATATGGCTAGAAGCTCACAGAGTATAGTAGTATTTATTTAAAAAACAAACAAACATGGAAATAGGAGCAAAAACAGGTGAGCATGTCCTCTGTTGCCCATTGAATTATAGGTCAATGAAAATATATTTCAGGATAGGCCTCAGACTGGAAGAAGGTCTCACACATGAGCTATGGAGCTTTTAAGAATCTTTAATTCATAGAAAATATGGTTAAATCAGGAACAGTAATACAATAGCAATTTGACAAGGCATAATCTTGACTCTAGCCCTTCCCTGAAATCTCAGCATTTATGATAGATTGGTAGCATTATCTACCCCTTCTGGATTAAGCCATCTAATTATCTACACTAATAAAAAAGTAACATGTTAATTGACCTTACCTTCATGATACTCACCAGCCAATCAGGAGTGAATATGCAAATTAATCCAACAAAGATTGTGGGTTAATTTGCATATGCAGGCCCCAAGTGGTTGGAGGTGGGGTGGGATGCTTTCATAGTCGCCATGGCAAGGATGCAGGTGCTCTGCACCACCCCAGCCACTCCAGGCCTCTGAGCAGCATGGGAAGGCAGAAGGTAGCTCCCACCAGAGTGAAGGTGGTGCTGAAAGCCAGGGAAAGGAAGGCCCATTCTTGCACAAATCTTTATCCATCGGGCCTCTAGCAGCCATATAATAACTCAACATAGAAGCAATACTTGGCATGTTCCCTTCATATGATAAGGGGCTGAGGTCCAAATCTTCATATGTACCAGGAATAAATTTCTCAGTCACCAGGCCATAATTAATCACCACAAAGCTTTACAGCAGTGTATGAACTCTACTTTTTTGTTTCTAGGGACCATTCTGGAACAAGTTAACCCTTATGTTTTAATAATTAATGTACCTGTTGGCCATTTCTATATTTTCTTTGACCACTTTTTTAGAAACTATTTATTTCTTCTCAACTTTATTTCTATTCTGTTAAGAGTTTGTGGAAGAACAGTTTAAGACCACTCAGTGGTTATCCCTACCCATTCAGTGGCCTGAGCAGTGGGGGCTGCTCACCAGTCTTCAATGATGGCAGATAGCTCCAGTCTTCAGTAGGGAACTGTTTTATAGGTACAGATGCCACCTGTGTGCCTTCAGCCCAGTCCACAACTTTGAATTTATTAACAGTAAACTCAGGAATTGGAGCAGTCCATTCACCCTGAAATTCTTCCATGGTCACAGCTTTTTCTACAGCAGCCTGCTCTTCCTTTGCAATCTCTTTAGGATCTCTGTAGAAGTGGAGATTAGGCATGACCACCATGGGTATTCACAAAAGTTGGTGCCTTGCATGGGCAATCCATCCTGGGCCACCGTCCACCACATCAGACCACTATATGAGCCTCCTTGTTATTGCAAGGGATGGCAATGCCCACATAGCACAGAGGAGAATCTGTGGGACACAGAGCAATGGTGGGCAGGTTAATGTAAGGTGCCTCTGTGATCAGCCTTGGGATCAATAACCGCCAGAAAAGGTTGCCATTGATCTGGATTGTGAATAAAGTGGGAAGCAATATAAGTGGTGTCAGGGGAAGCTGTTATCTTCAGACCATTGACCAGTATTCCTAGAGAATATGAGACTGGCATCAGCCAGTGGTAATGATGACATGAGCTGCCCGCAAAAGTTCCTCCTGGGCTCTTTTTGGATTTATGATGTACATTCCACCACTCTCCTCCTTGTTTCGTTTAGAAATCAAAGTTGGTGCCACTTGAGTTAAGTACCTGCTGCAAGACATTTGAGGGCATACTCATCCTTCATTTGCAGGACATGTAGGACTCTGGACATTGTAAAAGTTTCCCTTTCTGAGAGAAACCCAGAACAATGCCATAAGAGTTCCCATCTGGGTAGCATTGGAAGGTAGAACTTATTTTTTTCCTCTAAAATAAATAAAATACATGTATCTTAGCTCTCCACTAAAATGCCTGGGAAACTATGACAACCCAGTAGAAAAAGCAAACATATGCCGAAACTGGTTTGGCTCAGTGGATAGAGCATTAACCTGCGGACTGAAAGGTCCCAGGTTCGATTCCGGTCAAGGGCATGTACCTTGGTTGTGGGCACATCCCCAGTAGGGGGTGTGCAAGAGGCAGCTGATCAATGATTCTCTCTCATAGATGTTTCTAACTCTCTATCCCTCTCTCTTCCTCTCTGTAAAAAAAAAATCAATGAAATATATATTAAAAAAAAGAAAAAAAAAAGAAAAAGCAAGCATACCACCCAGATATATTTTCCAAATATATTTCTCCACTAAAAGAAACTACCAGTGTTCCTTGGTGATGTGTGTGATTCCAAGGTATGAGTAGAAATATCCAAGATGAGTCTGGTTACCTTGGCATTTCAGAAATCTGTGTTACACACTATGCAAGGTCACAGAAGGCACTTGGATTCCCATTAGCCAAAGATAGGAAAACTTGTGCTTGGAAAATAAGAATAAATACTAAAATGTATCAAATCTATTAAAATAGATAACACTAATTACCATATTTATGCTTAACCCTTAAGTGTTCATCACTTGAGATTTTTACTTAGGTAACTAGTTCATTATTCAGGAAATTCATATAGATGGTAAAATAACCAATAGGAATTACATAGCACTACTTATGAAATACTAGAGGCCCGATGCATGAAAATTTGTTTCCTCAAGGGGTCCCTCAGCCCAACCTGCACCCTCTTGCAGACCAGGAGCCCCTGGGTTATGTCCAACTGATGGCTTAGGCCCACTCCTGCCTAAGCCACAATCTGGCCCCCCTCTGTGGGAGGAGATCCAAAAGCCCACAGGGGGACAGTGCAGGCCAGTGAGTGGCTGGCCCCACCCCCTGATCAACCCTCCACTACTACCAGTCACCACTGCCCCTGATCACCATCCCTTCCCTCTGCCCACTGACACCTGCCCTGGCTGCCCTGGATTAGGCCCACTTGTTGGCCCCACCCCCACCGACCAGGCGTTTGGTCATTCACATACTAGGCTGTTATTGTATAGTATTCTTGCCAAGATAAAATAAACTGAATCAATTGACTTCTACATTTAACAGTTACATAAATTTTGACAAATAGAAAAAAAAAATTATAGAATCTTAAACACAAAAAACAGAATAATACATGAAAACTAGAATAAATCAAAGAATATAAATTAGTAGATAATAAATATAAAATTAGAAATTTATGAAATTCAAAACAAATATGATACAGAGAATCAGCAAGAAAATGTTTATTATTTTAAAAATAAAACTGCATTGATGCTGGCAAAATTAATCAATAAGAACAACACATGTGAACAATGTGAGAGAGAACACAAGTAGAGATACAAAGAGAATACAATGAAGAATTTTATGACAATAAGCTTGAAAATTTGTAAAAATTGTCAATTTCCTAGAAAATAATGTTATAAAAATTAACTCAAAAACATTGTCTTTTAACAAATAAATTTGTCTCAGTATTTTCAAATATAAAATGATAACAAAAAGAAGGCCTAAGTAGTTTTCAGGTAAATTCTACCTAATTGCAAAATATAAATCTAATCTTATAAACAAATTTGCAGAGAATCAAAATGAAGTAGATTACTCCGTAAGTCATTTAATTAAGAGACTATAACCTTAATAGTAAAACCTGACCATAGCAAACTGAGAAAGATAAATTGAAGACTAAAGGACTTATTAACATAAATGCAAAGATCCTAGACAAAATATTAGCAATTTTTACCCAGCAGTGTATAAAAAAAAGCACATCTTGCCCAACTGAATTTTTAAGAACTTTTCAAAATTACATTACAATTTTATAATGGTACTCTGACTACCATGTTAAGAAGAGACTGACATGGGAGAAGAGGCAGAGGTGGGAGAGCAGTAAGAAACAGGGTTGCCAGGCAAATATTTTATTGTCTAAATCAGATAACTTTAATTAAGAGGTTATTGCAATAATTGAGATAAGATTTGTTGTTGGTTTGTACCAGGATGGGGGCAAGGCAGATGGTGAGCAATAGTCAGATTCTGGTAACATTTTGATGTTAAATTCAACAGGCTTTTTTGATGTTTTAAATATTGATTATTTTCTATTTTTCTATCATCATTTTCCCACACTGTTCTAGGCCATTATCCTCCCTTACTGCAGTTCTGAAACAACCTCCTAATTGCTATTTTCTCTAGTCTTGTCTCTCTTCAACTCAAAATTCAATTTTAACTAACATTTCTAAAAATACAAATCTGATTATTCACTACCTAAGTCCTTTCAATGACTTATTTTTGTCCTTTGGATATTGTCTGACTCTTAAAAATAGATGACATTCTACATAATCCTTTTCCATATGGCCCATTTGCTAAATTCAATTATAAATTAGCATAATTTTAAATCATTATAATTTTTAAGGTAAAAATACATATTGTTATTGAAGGAAGGGGAGGACAAATACCATATCTCATTAAGGTTATCATCAGTCATGGAACATGGCTGTGTTCACAATTTTATATTATTGGGATAAAGAGTAGGTTTTATTTGTTTGTTGTTGTTTTTTTAAATTTCTTTATTGATTAAGGTGTTACATATGTGACCCTATTCCTCCATTACCCCCCCATCCCTCCCACTCATGCCCTCTCCACCCTCTTGTCATTGTCCATTGGTTAGGCTTATATGCTGCATATAGGGATTATGTAGAAATTTGTTGTTCCATATTAGAAAAAATTAAAATAGAATAGAAAATGCCTATTTACCTTTTTAAAAACTATGTCTGATTCTATCACAGAATAAAAGGAATACATTTATTAGCTATTTTAAAATTCTATTAAGTTTATTTTAAATAATCATTTCCACAACAGCCATTTTATCTTAGGCATTGCTCAAGGCCCTTTGTTGTAGTGCACAAATCAATAAATGGAGCATCTCTCTATTAAAAAAAAAATAGATGACATTCACTCCACAAGGTCAGCACTTCTACTATGTAACCAACTTCCACCTTTTGTATAACAAAGTCCTATTCACTCTCTATCTCTTAACCTAAATATGGCATCCTCAGGAAGGCCATATCTAACATAGGTTTTGTTCCATGGTCATAGGCTCCCATAAAATTTTAATTTTTCATATCATAACATTAATCAGGGTACATTATAATCCTTTCTTTAACTAGATGTTTTCTCAACTGTTTTGTAACTTTATGGGAGGAAAGACATATAAATCTCTTGTTTATTGTGGTGTCTCTAGACTTGGAAGATTATTTGGCACAGAATACATAATTGACAAATATTCTAAATAAATTATTAATAAATTAACTAATCCTGTATTTACATTTATATTTGCACAAGGGTTATTGAGAACTCCAAAATAACAAATGGTATGCTTCTTAACAGCCCACTTAATGGTGCCACTAATAATTATATTGCTAAAAATAATTGCATAGAATTAGTTTTTTCTTTGACTTAAAACACATTTATATATATTACAATACGTCAATATGATTAATTTTGACAGTTTACTTTGAAAATAATTACTTCAAGCTCTAATTAACTAGAATTTACTTCATTTCTACAATAGAAAAATAAAATAAACTTTTATTTCTGTATATTTTATTTCACTACTCTCAATAAGATAACTTCAAAAGAATAGACACATAAAATAAAATAAAACATTTCTTTCTCTTACTGTAACCAATTGTGAGAAACAATGAAATAACTCTAGAATGGAAGTGAATGAGACATCTATACTAATAAAAGGGTAATATGCTAATTAGACCAGATAGACTGGACATCTTCTGGACATTATTCCAGATGGCCTTCCTGATAAAGCAGTGGGAGTGACCAGCCTGCAAACTACCCATGGTACCTCACCCAGGCTGGCCCCAGCCCCAGCAGGGACGCACATTGTAATCAGAAGTGTTGCTGCAGCCCCTCACCCAGGCTAGCCCCGCCCCCAAGTGGAGACCCCCTCCCCGGTTGGAGGCGTGGCCAGCCTGCAAACTGCCCATGGCCCCTCACCAAGGCCAGCCCCGCCTCCAGCAGGGACCCTCCATCCTAGTCTGAGGATCCCATCAGGGTAGGCCAGCTGGCTCCTACCAGTGTACCAGGCCTCTGTTTTATATAATAAAGGAGTAGAGGGGAAGAGATCATGTGTAAGGGGAAGAGATCAACCAATGGACTTATATGCATGCATATAAGCCTAATCAACGGACACAGACAACAAAGGGGTGGGGACATGAATGGGGAGCAGGGGATAACGAGGGAATAAGGACACATATGTAATACCTTAATCAATAAAGAAATTAAAAAAGAGTAATATGC